AAAACCATGCGAAACGGCACGAACTTGGTTAGCCGTGGTTTTCAACTAAATGACGTGGTTTTCAAGATGTTTTACTTGTTCTCTTAGCAAAATGCAATAAACAAATGTTTTCTAAACTTGGTTTTTATTTTGGAGAACTTGCATTTTTGACATCGGCTAACGGCGTGACTAAACCAACCATGGGTCTGGCTAAACCAGCCCAACAGCGATGTTGAGGTAATCAACAGCGCTGTCTGGACTAGGTAGCTAAGAACATGGTTTGGCGTTAAGTCTTCCAACAGCGATGTTGGTCACTAGACATCGCTGTTGAGCCAAGGTTGGATTTCCAGAAACTTCTAGAACAGCGATGTAGGCTTCCCTACAGCGCTGTCCAACCTAAGCCAAAAATATAGTGCATTGGCAGAAAGTTTTTAGACAGCGATGTTGACCCAGCAACAGCGCTGTCAGGCCAAACTTCCATCTCCAAAGGCAGACCTAAACAGCGATGTTCTAGGATAGAACATCGATGTAGAGACCTGACCGTTGGAAGGAATTTAAGGCTAAAACATTCCTTGTTTGGAAGTCAACAGCCAAAATAGCGATGTAGGGGTTTTGGACATCGCTGTTGGCATGACTGTTGCTTCCCATTTTTTAAAAATCAAGCCTAGAACAGCGATGTCCAAGCCTAGGACAGCGCTGTCTGGGTGAATTTCAGCAAATCCAATTTTAATCAAATCCCACAAATTATGCCAATCACCCCTTAAATACTTTGGTCCGTTGGAGCCTATTTTTTCTACTATAAAATGGGGTGTTTGGGTCTGTTTTACATCGTCACATTACTTCACAACTCCTACTTTTTCATTGCAAATCATTCTTCAATTTTTCATAGCTTTTGAGAGCAATTTTTGTGAAGCCTGTGTTGTGTTCTTGAGCGTTCTTAGTTTACTCATTATTCACTCTAAAAGAGAGTATTGTTCTTGAGTGTTTTTAGTGTTCTTATACACTTGACAAGAGAAGGTATCTCTCTTGTTGTTCGAAGGAAGGGTTGTTTTCTTCGAAGGTTCGTTGAGGTTCGTGTGACTCGAATTCTCAAGTTGTACGGGTTTGTTAAGCACCGTTAAGCTTAACGAGATAGTAGTGTAGCTCAAGAGAGTCTCTCGGGAGGCTGGACTAGCCACAAGTTGTGGTGAACCAGGGTAAAATTGGTGTGCCTCGTTCTTTTCTCTTTACTTCTCGCTTATTCATTTTTATTCCTGCGATTTCTTGATCAAACGCTATTCACCCCCCCTCTAGCGTTGGTCTATTATTCTAACAGAAGAGAATATTTTCGGTACGTGATTCAATTCATGAATTCATAGAGTGAGGAATCTTCACTAGTTCTTACACCAACAACGCATATAGGTTCGGGATTTTCGCTTGAATGATTCAGCATGTTCTTATGACATCATTTCTTCTCTAGTTGTTGCACACACATTTCTTTGTTAGGGTCAAAACAGAGTTTCTTGATCATCATCGATAATAATCTTCATAGATAATGCAATCGCATTAACTGTTTCGTAGCAGTCCCCTAAAGAGGTTTAACATAATGTTCAAGTCGGTGTAGTTTTATTATTGTGATCGAGTCACGTAGTTCACAGAGTATAGTTTTCAAAGATCGATATCATGAAGCATCTTTGGTTTAGTGAAGAATCGTGGTTTTAGTATTTTGACACAAAGAATGGAATTCAATCTTTTCAAGATTGATCAAGCGAGGTATTTCAAGGGTGTAGTTAACACAGCAAGTTTGAGTCATTCAAGGATGTGAGTCACAGGATACAAAGATAGTGTTTGTGACTTATCGTTGTTAATCGTAGGTTTCCTTTATTCAATGTTTTACTCTTTGGAAGTTACTCAAGGAGTCATTGTCTTAGGAAATAGTCATTTTGACTTTTCATCTCGGATTTGATCGTATTTCAGGACAGCGAATCTAACTATTCATTGGTCTCAATATATCACATTGTCAGCAGACTACAGTATTCATGAGTACACTTTCGTCTGTAGATAGTTGAAGCGAATTCACTTTTCTGTACGTATTTGTGCTGGTGATAATTACTTTTCCATCAATGGTCAGGTTTCAAAGACTATATATCACAATTATGGGAAGAGTATCTCACATTCTCACATTATGGAAAGAACTTCTCGAACACTTCCTTACACCATAAGATTCATTGGTCTACTTGGCAGTCATTCTCTTGGTAGAAATCCAAAGTTTGTGGCTACTGCGGTAGATTTAGGAAGGGAAGTGATAAGGCGAAAGATTAAACTTGCCTATGGTGGAGGTAGTGTTGGCCTTCAAGGAGCTGTTGCTTCAACAGTCTTTACCAATGGTGGTCTCGTTAGAGGTTTCATACCTGGATACATAGCAACACGATGGGTCTACGGACCTACATACGGTGTAGAGCACACAGTTTCCAGCAATTACTATAAATATTTTGAGATGAATCATGCCGTGGAAGCTTTCATCGTTCTTCCTAGAGGAGTTGACACTATGGAAGGTTTGTTCACCTTGATCTCTTGGGCTTCTGAAGGGTTACACAATAGACCCATTGGTCTCTTAAACATTGACAGTTATTTCAATAACCTTCTCAAATTCTTAGACGATGCGGTGAGGCAGAACTTCATGGCTTCGAGTCAAAGAAAACTTTTTATTTCTTCATTCTTTGTTGATGAGCTTTTAGAAAAACTAGAGTTTGCTAAAGCTTTCCCGAGACCTGGGTTTAGTTACAATGAGTTTGTTAATCCTGGAAGGCTAGACTTAGAATTACATTTGTAACTTTCCTCTTGTAATTCAAGTTGTATCTTGTGTTGCAATAATATTATCCATAAATATTCCCCTAGGTTGTATGGCTAGTGCGAGCTACATTTTGTTCATTCTTCAGTCTTTCACTATTGGTGTCACTGTCTTGTTTTGTATCGTCACCACGTCGCGATCTTTCGTGTCAATAGCGCCTACAAATGAGTCAATTTCAAAATAAGGAGTAGCGATTCTTGATGGTCAATTTGTTCAAGTTTCATAACAGAGATTTGTTAGTATCATGACCGTAAGTCAATCTTAGAGAATACAATAGATCCTCTAAGCTGATCAAATAAGTCATGATACGAAGTAAAGGATAAGGATTTGTTTAATTGACGATAGTTGATACAGAGTCTCGTTGATCCTTCTGTATTCGCATATGAACAAAATAGGTATTCAAAGAGAAAACACTTGATCAAATGATTCTTTATTAAGGAATCCTTGAGTTTTCAATCTCAACGGAGAGTTATTCAACATGGAATTACATAGATATTAGATAGTGTAAATCCCGGATCAGTACATGGATAATTTTATAAATTATTGAATAAGGAAATATATTAATGATGACACTGGAGTTTTCTTTAACGCGGTCTTTCACTGCATACGCACCTGCATGATTTTGTTTGTGGATTATTTCCTGCTAGAGCAAGTCGGGCTGAGGTAGACTGACTTTGAACAGGGCCATCGGCATTGGTTTTCCAAGGGTTTGTAGGACATTCCTTTCGAAAATGCCTAGATTTACCACAACCTATACATAATCCTTGTGTCTTCCAACATTCTCATGGGTGATGTCTTCTACAAGTTTTACACTTTGGATGTTTCCACACTCTCAATTTGTGATTAGTTAACAAAGGTTTTCTTCTTTTCAAGGGTGGGACACTACAAGTTCCAGTCAAAGGCTTCTTTCCTTTAATATCAGGTTTGATACTTGAATAAGCATTGGAGTGACCTTCAATATCTTGGTAGATGTTTTGATTGTCTGATTGATTTCGGACAACAAGAGTGAAATTCGATATTTCAATATGAACCGTTGTGTGTCCATTGTTTTGCACTTGGTTATCTTGTCCGCAAGCAGTTTCTTGACTCATTCTACAAATAGTAGAAATTTCTTTATCAGGATTCCTTATTTGTGCAGGTGCCTTGATAACAGATACCACGAGGGTATATAACAGTTATGATGATTGAAAACAATCCAGAGAGATTGGGAGAAACGATAGGGTTTATTAATTCTAAACGTTTTCGTTCGCGTCAACAACTGGTTCGCATTGAGTCCACATGGATATCTTATACAGCAGCTTCACAGATGTTATTCAACATTAATTGTTTCTTCATAGTCGTCTCACTTCTAAGCGAGTTTACGAGGCCAATCAGTTTCGTCATTTGCGATGTGATGCGTACGTTGATAACGTATGAGGAGGTTATACATATTTCATTTATTCTTTCGTCTCTTCACCGAGTATGAAAGTTCAACTAGAGTCTACGCTCGATACGGTTTCAGTACTTATCAATTGTTATGAGAATTCTAACAGAGTCATTTTTTACCAAGTAAATTCTCATACCTTTTTCCTGGAGCAGAGGGATGCGAGAGTCGTGGATGTGATTGAATATTTTTTTAATCAAGTTTCGATCCGAAGATCAGGTTTAAAAACATTTGCTCTGATACCAAAATGTAACACCCTAATCCGTCCAGGTCTGCAGCCCCTTTTGTACTAAAGTATTAACTTGGTAATCGTCAAAATTTAAAACTTTTCAAACACGTTTATTTATCATAATAATATTTTTCATAATATAAACAGGACGGAGTTTTCAATATTGCGGAAGCTTAACAAATCATAATCACAAAAATAATTTATTTATGTTCTTTAATTCAAAACCATCACATCCATTCCAACAATCTCGCCTCCGTCTGCCTCCAGGATCACGTCACTTCATTCTTTCTATTAACCTGCGTGTAGCAAATAAAACATACTACACGCTTAGCGTTGAAGCTGAGTAAGCATATCTAATGCGTCGAACATCCATATAAACTGAATCTAATTCATAATCAAATCATTTGATATCATGCACGTAATCTTCAGCTCAGATATTCAATAATCATTAGTCAGTATTCATCATTCATTATTCAACATTTATATTCATATTCGACGTTCATCGGTTATTCATAATATTCACAATATTCAATTCAATAATCATCATTCACTATTCATTCATATTCAATGGTCATCTGTTATTCATAATAATCACAACATTCAATTCAATAATCATCATTCAATATTCATTCATATTCAATGGTCATCTGTCATTCATAATAATCACAATATTCAATTTAATAATCATGATTCAATATTCATTCATATTCAATGGTCATATGTCATTCATAATAATCACAATATTCAATTCAATAATCATCATTCAATATTCATTCATATTCAATATTCAACATTCGACAATATTCTTAAACTATTCTTAGTTTAAGGCCAATCACTTTAATGTTTATCAACCCTTAAATGAATTCTAGTTTAAATAATCAAACTATATTCCAGTATAAAGTACTTCTAAATAATCCTTAAGCTAGGCCTAGTTTAAGATAAAAGGGTTTTGAAAATCTTAAACTTACCTTCACTTAAGGCCAACCAGAAACCGACAGCGTAGTGTTCACTGTTGGGTGGGTGGTACCCCCAAACGAGTAGGTACTCAAGTTTGGTTCTTGGATCTCGTACGTACATTTTAACCCTAGCCACTGGGGTTCATACCCGCAAGGCCTAACTTAAATAGGTATATCTTAGAGGTCTTCTAGATACCTTTCAAATCAACATTAATATGGGTATATCTTAGAGATCTTCTAGATACCCTTAACAATACATATTATTTTCACAATCATCAATATATTCATTATGATTCAATCATTCACAATTATCATTTTTAATCAGAATATTCATCAAGATTTAATAATCACAATCATCAATAATCATTACCATAATCATCAATTAAAATAATATTCAATAACCATTAGCGGCCTAGCTTCGGGTGTTAACACCCTATTTTACCGTCATGCATCACACAAGATTTTATTTGTTAAAAGCATTATTTTTATTATGAAAAATCATTTTTATAATGATCATAATTAATTAGTATCAAAAATAGGATTTTGGAACTCAAAAATAGCATTTTCGGACAAAGTTTTGGATCAGATTTTCGGGGGATCGATCCAGCCCTCTAGATCGATCCATACTATGAAAAATCACTCCCAGGGGATCGATCCAAGCCCCTGGATCGATCCAGACAGTGGTGTTTCAGCCACTGTTCATCTTCTTCTTCGTTCGGGTCCAATTTCGGAAATACTGTTTTTAGTTATCGAACTTCAACGAAACTATATAGAGATGTTCTCCAAGGTTCATAGATCATTTTGGCATCATTAATTCATAGTTTTAACATCAATTTAATGGTTTATGATTCTTGGTTCTTCAAGCATGTTAAACACAAAACTCAACCAAACGACCATTTATGGACGTAGAAACGATCTATACAAACATTCTAGTCACTAGATATATCTACGTGCTTACCTCGAAGGTAAATGAAGGTTTTGAAGATTTTCCGGCGAAACTCCCGGCGAGGATTGTGGCTATCTTCGGCGACCTCACACCAATATGACAGCACCACTGCGTTCTCCTCACTCCCAGCAATAAAATAGATATAAGGATTGTGTGAAATGGTGGAGAATTGAAAGGATGAAGGTGGTCTTTATATAGGGAAGGAATGGAGAAGAAGCCAATGTTGATGTACGCAGTTCCTGTTTTGGCGTCTCAGTGGAGCGGGCTGCTATATTTCTCCGATTCCAAACGCAAGTCCCTGATTGGGACTAAATTTGTCATAGTCGGGGAACACTTTTTTGTCCAACTTTCTCCAAATTGAAATCCGTTTGTACCGTTGCGATCGGACAGTTAAACTCTATCCAACGATATAACTTTTATATTTATCTGTAATACTTTTTCCGACATCATATTTTTGGGTGATTGACTTTGATAGAGTCAAAATTGATTTATTTGACCTTTACTCAAAAAAGGTTATTACATTTCATTCATATTATTTATTTCAATAACTCATTTCAAAGTTCATATCATAAACAAACTTCTTCATTTATCTTGGATTTGGGTCTGTACTAGGTTCCCAATTTAGGTCACACAATAAGTCAACATATTGGATTTATCTCTATGAGACTTATCCAGATTTTGATATTGGATATTAAAACATATTTCATGTCGGCCCAAAGCCCAAAAACAATTTATTTTAATCAAAACAAATTTGATTAATTGAATAATATTCATTAATAATTTTAGGGTATATTTTGGGGTGTTACAACCCGTGTTCCAACATACCGTACCAGCAGCTGCAAATCTCTGTTGTTTGACTGTTTGATCTGATTTGGAACCCAAGTTGACTCTGAAACTTTATGTGTTGCATGACTGTAAATGTAAGGTGTTTACACCTGACATTAGACCGATATTTGGATTTGCATGGTGATATATTTAGCTAATTCTGTTCTCTTGACTTATACTAAAGATAATGTGATATGTCTGGTACGAATAAAATATACTGATTTTGTTGATAGTTTGGGTCTAAATAATTAAAGTAGTTTAATGAGTAGGTTACCTAGAAGAACTCTATGACTACTTTGTGAGAATTAAGATTGTAAGTTGACAATAGGTGTAGAGCCTTGCGGACTTAGTATCCGGTAGCATTCGGGTAAAGATGTACGTAGATGGAATCTGGGATCTGATCCGTAGGATTGGAGGTTCCACCCAACCGACGCTGTAGGTACCTGGTTGACCAGGATCATGGCCGTAGGTAGTGATTCTGATGTCATAGAGTAGACTTTGGGTCATGGCCGTAGGTAGTGGCTCTAAGTCCTAAGATAAGAATGTGGATAATGAGGAATTAGCCCTAGCCTAGAATAGGTTATGAGCTAGTGTTGGATATGAGTTAATGTAATGACTTGATTGTTGTGATAATGACATGTGCAGGTGAAGAACTAAGGTAAGTAACATATTGTGTGGATTGTTGATATTGTTGATATTAATAATGTTGTACTTGTGTGCATGATATTGTATGAAGTTATAAGCTAGTGGGTTCGTCTATGTGCGTAGTCAAGACGTTAGATAGTTCTCACTTAGCTTCAATGCTGAGCGTGTAGCCCTTTTTCCTATTTGCTACGCGTAGGTAACATGAATGATGAATAAGGAACTATCTTGGAGGGCAGCGAGAGTAGAGAGGTGGATGGATGCTAGATGGAGGAATTTATTATTTAATACTTAAGTTTGAATTATTTAT